TTTCAACGTCAAAGTATACAATACACACACGTACACCTATTTTGAATGCAAAACTTGGCAAGCACTATGCAAGGCTTATGCATTTGAGCCTGGTATGGTTATCACCTTTGATATTCGTCCGGAAGATGATATTGAAGGTAATAGAGACATATGGGTCGATGTGCAGACGCCTCCAGTTCTACCATTATGTGAGTTCTTCTCAACTATATTTTTGTCTTTGATATTGCTTATTCAAAAATAACTGACAACTAATTTCTATTGACAGCTTATCTCCATTCAACCAAACATGTCCGACGCTTGGTAGACAGGACCTACTACTGTCCCGGAGCTGAACTAAACTGCGAGGAGATAAGTCATTATGTTTCATGGCTTGAGGACCTTCATACTGTCAAGACAAATTTTCTTCCTGCACTTAGAAATGTTAGTACTCAAAACGTGCGACCAATAGTGATGGTATTGAACTACGGTCACATCTATTTAGGAATGATGGTAAGATATTTACTATTTGTCCTCAGTGCATATTTTGCATACATAATTTTTTTGCTAAACTTTCATTGCTAAGTATATTAATTAAGTACTATACAATGTTCAACAGGGACTCCCGATGACAGTTGTGCCTCAGGGGATCGAGACTAAAGGTCAGATGTCAATTGTTAGCTTACGGCCAAGATATCCTGCATTGCACATGAATGCATTCAGGATTTCTAGAAGCGATCAATGCTTAATAGTGAAAGATTGGAGAAAAATTGTTAATGATCGCAGAGAAGTACTAGGGGGCAGCAATGAGAAGCGCATCCCACGATTAGGAGACAGGTTCATCGGCATGCTCTAGTATGATCAATCAGGAGAGCTATACATGTTCTATGCTATTTTGCCAGAGAGAGTAGCTAACAGGAGTGATTTAGCTAGTTCTTCATGCTGCTCTTAATTAGTACTTGTCCTTTCATGTCCGTGTTCTTCGTTCTGAACTTAAGTGATTTGCTTTTGTGGTGTTATATATGAATGCTTATAATATCATGACAATCATGTTGAACTCGATCGATAATATTTTTGCTTCTGGTACAAGTGAATGTTTCTTCTTCAAGCTAGTAGTGCTGGTGGTGATTAGATAGCTAGTTAATTATTATATCATTTAATGAAAGAAACCGCAGATTAGTTTCAGCTGGATGAATCCTACCTAAGTGATCAAGTATATGCCATATCCGTATATATTATAGTTGATCAAGTATAATATGGATATGGCATATATTTATACTCTAGCTAGCTAGCTATAGAGATATCCAATAATGCATCCAGTCGAAACTAATCCGCGATACTTTCACCTAATGATTTAACAACTCATTATAATGTAAAACAATCACTAAATTAAATTGAAAACACAAAATTAAAGAAAAATAAAAAACACCCAAACATTTAGTACCGGTTGGTGTTACCAACCGGTACTAATGCCCTCCACGCAAACGGGCCTGGCTCGTGCCACGTGGTGGCACTTTAGCGCCGGTTCGTGACGAACCGGTACTAAAGGGAGGGGACCTTTAGTCCCCACTCTTTAGTGCCGGTTGGAGAACCGGCACTAAAGCACGTCACGAACTGGCACTAAAGGTCGGTTCCGTACTAGTGACCATATGCAACCAATGTTGGAGAGGACAATGTCCCACATCGCATGAGCACATGCACAACCGAAAAAGAGGTGCACGATGGTCGCATCAGTGGAGCAGATGATGTAGGGGCAGAGAAGGGGTGTGTCGACGATGGAGATAGAGCCACGAGCTGCAAGATTGGTGACACAAGTAGAGGAACTGATTGCAGTGTCAATGAGCAAAAGAGTCACAGATATAAGGACAACGACATTAATCACATCGGAGGGGTTACATACATTCAAAGCTCATAGGATGTGAAACTTTAATGAGAGGAGGTGATGCAACAATGCTTCTCACTTGGTCGTAGAACGACAACCAAGATGCAACATTGAGGGTGGCCAAATTGGCATGGACAACAATAGACACTCATGACTTGAGAAGAGGGCCAAAGCCGATAAAGATAATAGCCATTGCAGCTTAAAGCCTGATGGCATGGGAATGTGTCAAGAAGCTTGCATATAAGGTTTGACAACTCCCATGAGTCTACCATTGCCAATAATTACCATCATGGTGATTCAGAAAGAAGGCAACATTGTGAAAAAGGTTTACTTCCAAACATCTATGTGAAGGGAGGTCACGACAAATATTGTTAAAGTGTTTGCTTTATGTTTATTTTATTTGTCAGGTGTCCTGCATTCGAGGAACAAGATGCTCATGTCAACACAAGTGCCATCCTATTGATATAAACTCTTTTCCCGCCACTTGTCTTTCTGGTTAATGGAAAAACTTTGTATTTCTGTTATGAAAGTATTGGGGGGGGAGCTGATTAAAAAAACTCATAAATGGAAGTAACCCACCCCGACCATTTGCACTGTGAGGTTATGTCTTCGACGCTCTTTACAATCACAATTATTGTAATATGCTCCTGAGTTTTCCACATCACGGATTGTGGGATGAGTGCAAGGCTAGATTTTTATCAACCACCTAGAATGTACATGCATAATATGTGGATGCATACCAAGTATACCACATACCCAAGAATGGAAAGGACTGAAGGATGATGTGCTTCTCGTCTCCTTTGTCCTCAAGTACGGTGGAGCTAATGTCAAGCTTGAAGAGGAGGGCGGGGGTCTGATTCCGTCAAATGGGAATACATTCTGGACCTCTTGCAGCGCTTGGGCTTCCCAAGCAAATTCAGGGCCTGGATTACCGCGTTGCTCTCCTCGGCTTCCTCGCGCATCCTTCTCAATGGGATTCCAGGCCCTCCCATCAGGCACGGCCAAGGGCTTCGGCAAGGGGACCCAATCTTGCCGCTCCTATTTGTCCTCGTGATTGACCCGCTTCGTCGAATCCTTGATCTTGCAACAAACCGAGACCTTCTTCGCAAGCTTCGTGGTCGTGGCGCCATGGTGCGAACTTCTTTGTATGCAGATGATGCAGCTGTTTTCCTGGCTCCGATCAAGAGGGACATCGAGAACTTCTCTGCTATCTTAAGGAGTTTTGGCGAGGTCACGGGCCTCCACACCAACTTCCACAAAAGTTCTGTTGTGCCCATTCACCGCAACCACCTTGACTTGGACCATATCCTTCATGGCATGCCAGCTGCAAGAGCTTATTCCCCTGTGAGATATTTGGGCCTACCACTCTCGGTCTGGCAGCTTAGGAAAGTGGATTTCCAATATCTTGAAGACAGAGCGGCTGGAAAGTTGGTCACTTGGGAGGGCCAAAATATTGCCACCATCGACCGTACGACTCTGGTCAAGTCGGTTGTCTCCTCCCAGGCGGTGTACTCCATCACGCCTCTCATTGTGCCGCCGAGCACTTTGCGAAACCTCAACAAGATTGAGCGAGCGTTTCTATGGTCTGGCTCGGATAAGACGACGGGTGCCAAATGCAAGGTCAACTGGGAGGTGGTATGTCGTCCTCGCGAGTATGGTGGCCTTGGGGTACTAAACACTGACAAGTTCGCCCGTGCCTTGAGACTGAGATGGCCATGGTTTGAATGGAAGGAACCCAGCAAGCTTTGGGTGGGGCTTGGCAACCCATGCTTAGAGGAGGACCTAAATTTTTTCTATGCCTCAACCACGATTACTGTTGGAAATGGTGCCAAAACGCCTTTCTGGGACTCTCCTTGGCTGCTTGGGCGCAAACCCAAGGATATTGCCCCGCTAATCTTCGGTGCCTCCAAGAAAAAGAATTGGAAGGTGCATGAGACCCTTAAAGGGAATGCATGGATCCTGAAGATCAAGATTGACATGCCCGTCACTGCTGCCCACGTTCACGAGTTCTTCTCTCTTTGGATGCTCGTGAATGAGGTCCACCTTAACGAGCATGCCGAGGATGATATCACCTGGAAGCACTCCGGCGACGGGATTTACTCGGCAACCTCTGCTTACAAGGCTCAATTCCTTGGGTTGATTCTCTCCCCTATGGATTTCATGGTGTGGAAAGCTTGAGCTCCACCCAAAGTTAAATTCTTCTAGTGGCTGGCTCTACAAGACCGGATTTGAACTGCAGACAGGTTGGCCAGGCGTGGCTGGCCCAACTGCGGCCTTTGCCAACTTTGCAAAAGGGGGCAAGAGTCTGGCGTCCATCTTTTCTTCAAGTGCCGCCACACTCTTAGGCTTTGGAGGATGCTCATTGACAAGTTGGGACTTGTGCACATGGACACCACCACTTGGCATCTTGCTGGCTCGGTGAAGGAGTGGTGGGAGAAGCGAACCAACTTGCAGAATCCTAATAGACGAGCAATGGCCTCTCTCACTATGCTCGTCTCCTGGTCCGTTTGGAACGAGAGGAATGCCAGAGTCTTCCGCCACAAGAGTGCTCCACCGACCATCCTTCTTCAAATGGTCCTCGATGAGGCAAAGCTTTGGGTTACTGCGGGTGCGAGAAAGCTAGGGGACATTATATTGCGAGAATAATTGTCATGCCGTGTGTTCGGCTCTTGTAACAACTCTATCTTCTCCTTATTTAATATATGGGGCAAATCTTTTACCTCCGTTTTGAAAAAAAAGTACGGTGGAGCTTGTGATGAAGTCTTCCATGACCATAACAGTGTCGCTACGTACCATAAATATCAGCCAATATACCCGGTGGTAGCCAATTTTTGTTTAGAAGACCCAAAAATAAAAATGGATCGATATGGTTCAATCATGGGCGCACGAGGGGCGAAGCAGAAGATCCAACGGCCAGCAAAATTCGCCGGAAACAAAAGTAAAAGTCACTGCACGGGGCCCGTGGGTGGCTGTTGCCCCACACGCCGCACGCCGGAAAAGGGTTGGCGAGCCACCTCCACCCCCTCGCCCCCGCGCCGGCCCCACCGC